TAAAGCAAAGCTAATTAAAAATGTTTTCCTAAATTCAGATAATCGTTTGTGCCTTTTTCAGGTGGCTGGAAAGCGCATGGTTTCACTTGATAGTGCGTGCGAAGATTTTTTAGGTATCAACTCCTTAATGGCCTCACCAGTGTTTTCACCCTATCTAAAGACCGTTTAAGCTGCAATACCGATTGAGAAGAATATATAATTACATGGTTTAAATAGAAATGAATAGGAAATTAAAGGAAATTTAGGAACCATAGCTAAACCCAGTAACGGAAGTAACATATGATTTTAAGATTCGAAACCCAGCTAATATAAGCAGTTACATGACGTTATCATCGTCAAAATATCAGTTCGTCAACTTTTGATTTGTAAGTGTTGAAGTCAATACAAGTGAATCATCTCATGACGAATATTTCATAAAAATCTGGAAACAAAGCGATCCCTCGGAAGCATTAATCACAACAAAATTACATAAGAATTGCAGACTCGGTTTGATTGAGTCTGTATATGAGGGATAATGAATAATTGCAACATCCCTCACGCCCCCTATCACCGGCTTGAGCGGTACTCAATTCTCAACACTTAATAGTGCTGGCATCAATGATCCCGAAGGACCAGAAAAATATAACAACACTGAAGTGAAGTACGGGGCAACTTTTTACAGCTGCCACACATCACTTGACACCTGCTGTTGTGACGTATAAAAATCTGGAAACAAAGTGATCCCTCGGAAGCATTAATCACAACAAAATTACATATTAAGAAGTCAATAATTTGCATAAGTATCTTTCTTTTTTACGTAAATAAAAACCTTTACTAAACATAACATTTTGGTGAATGTACAAATTGAATCAGAACACAAACAAGATTCATTGACGGATATAAATGCGATGGTTTCATCTCCAATATTTTTATCAACCATAAATATAACCAACAATATGCAAATATGGTAACACATTTGTTTTCTAAAATCATCTCGGCAAGTAAAATAACTAATTTTTAGTAATTTTCTATTTTTTTAAATTGATCACGCGTGAAAATTTATATATTTTAGCACATGACCAACGACATATTTTATTATTAAATATTTCAGAACATTATGTGTCTAAAATCATCTCAGCAACTAAAGCCCGAAAGTTTTGTAATGTTTCATTTTCTTTTATTAATCACGCGTAAAATTACAGCAATATGACAAACATATTTTACCATTAAACGTTATCACACATAATTGAACTTCAAGCACATGGGTATGACCGTATAATAAATTTGCTGATATTTCTTGTCGTGAAAACTGATAAAGTCCACCATGTACAGTGTTCCATGGGGCGGTTGTTATACTTTAAAGTACCATCCATATTCAGGCTAAATCAAGCCGAACCTTCAACATTGTCAATTTTACCATAAATATTGTTAGGTATTCCGTCTCTATATTCATTCACATGTAAAGTCACTTTTGAAATGCACTGCGAAACAAGTTGGCAAGTATATACAGAGGCATGCAGACATATCCGAGAAGATTAATCTTTAAAACGTAAACTTTAATAATAGTAGGAAAATAAAGAAAATACAAAAGTATCTTTATTAAAAGTACTTTTCTGTATAAACGCCAATTTTGATACAGTTTTGACCATATTTTTGCGGTCGAACTGACATTCTTGTTATTATCATTTTCTCCGCAAGCGACTATCTAAAGCCTTTAAGCCTTATAACGTTTTGTATTTTACTTTCCAAACTGCCAGTTTCTTGCATTTTCAAATGTTATCGTAATTACCTGTGATTGGTCAATACGTTGATTTTCGTAAGTAACATTGATCTCATTACCAAGTTATAATTCATTAGTAAAGTTCTATTCTATCTACCTCATTCTGTTTTGCAACGGCAATGAAATTTTATCCAGGAGTTTTGTTACAATGCAATAGTGCACGTGCTCTTTTGTGTTTCATTCGATAAGAAATAGCTAAATAATGCCCTTCTAGTTAAACAATGAGATACATATGCTCTTAAATATGTGCCTTTAAGTGATAAGTATGCAGTATGTAGTTAAGCGCAAAATTAAAAGCAGCAATTTGTCTGTACAAATAACTTTAAGTTGACAGCCTCAGACCCTGTAGTAGATGTAAAATGCTTATTTAAGTGATTGATGTGTAACGAAAAATATTTATAAGAAAAAATACCAGCTACATTGTATATCAGTAATTTCACCTTATCAAAGTTTCCCGCGTGAAAAAGCACGAAAAAGTAAATATTAATAGTGTGCTGTGCAATTAGTACAAAAGGTCTTTGAAAATAGTTAACTACGAAAAGCTTAAATTAATTAAGATTAAATCTTGAACACCTTTTTCAGTGAAACAAAGATTTTTATTTTGAAAATTGTGTATGGATCTGTTCCGTTATTCCTACTAAAGTTTTATACTGTATCTTTTCATTTAATTTTACAGCATATCGGTATAGTTACATTTTAATTTTTGTTTGTTGTTGTTGTTTTTATTTAAATTATTCAATATTTATTTCCATTATTTATCGCATTTCAGCGTATCTACCTTGATGTATATATTCAATCTTTATCATACATTAATTTTATTTAATCACAACATTAATTGTTTCGTATTGTTTGAGCCTGTTCATGGACTAAAGTGAAAATTACAAGCTGTAGTCCACCCTCATTAGCAAAGGCATATTTCATTGCATAAAAGCTTTTAAAATCATACAAATAAAAATCGAATTGTTCAGTGCCACAGAAACATTATAATGTAATTATTATCATAGGAATGATAGCTTTGTTGATAACGTTGTTGATAACGAGTAACTAATTTACTTACCATTCAAAATATTCGAGAGAAAACCCCGATTTGCCGTCAGTATACGCAAATTTTATAACAGTATCGTTTACGTGAGTGGTTGAATAGTGAACAAGTATCCAGTAGTTTACTAAGGGCTTGACTTTTAAAGCTTCACTCATTTCAAGGGTACAAGTTTATTAATTGCCAGTTTTCTTAAATTATGTGAAAGTCTTTTGAATCAGAGAAGGTAAAACATATTTAATGATTCATCAAAATTTACGAGCAATGTGCACTTGCTGCATTGTATAAATAAATACTTAATGACAGTGCTGACTAGAGAATTACCTTTTCATTATGCTGAAACAATTTACTTAATAAAAATGCAGAATATAGGAAAGTAATAAACAGTTATTTCATGAAAAAGAATGTTTATTTACAAAACTTAGGACATATCTTAGTAAAAATAGTGCAAGTATGGAAAAACTTAAGACATTATTTAACTTCATTTAACATGGCCATAACTTTTCTCTAAGTTCAAATAATATAGATTAAATACAGAAGTATTTTACGCCTTTTAGAATGATGCTTCAAGTTTTGAAAATATAAGTGTTGCTGGCGAATATTGAGATTGTCGCTAAGTAGAAAATCTTGAACATAGCAATCACTGAAACATAACGATATTTTATTATGTTTTCTCACTAATATTTAAATTCATGTTCTCTAGTTTTCTTTATTTACAGGTCTTTAACACTTTTTTCTATTTGCTCTTAAAAGATTATTTTGACATGCTTTAAATTAGAATTTACGATAAAAATTTGAAAAATATACGTTGAAAGAATCAGCAAACATACCAAATTAATTGCTTTGTTACTTCATATAACTTTGTCAATCAGATATGTGTAAAGCTAATAAATACCCATACTGACACGGTTGGAGCAGTTGTTCAAAGCCATGTGGAGGAGGAACACACGAGCAGATGTGTGAATCGTGTTATTTGCACATAGACAAATGGTATCATGAGAACTGTAACGTGCATTGCAGTCACAGTCATCACTTTTATTCAGTAAGATGTCATTTCCCTCCATGAAGATATGGCGAATGTTGTGATTGTATGAACAAAACAATTAGTTTCGAAACAAATTACATAAATAATATACTAGTAGATAACCTGTGAGCAATAACGTCATAAATCCTCTTTGTTTACATTTTGAAGCGGTATTATTTTTGTAAATGTAATTGATTAATTGTCTTATTATACACATTGTTGCATGTATCAAATCACTTCATATTTTTGTAAAAAATCTAATTTAATTTGCCTGAAAACAACGAAATTAAGCTAATCTGCATTGTTCAATTCTATAGTTTGAAAGAAGAATTATAAAACATGTATTCTTTAATATTTAAGATTGTAGACACATTAATATAGCCCATTGTAAACCTGGTCGGCAGATGTGTGGAGGATATCCTGACAAAATAAAATGTACGCAATGCTATGATCCTTACTACTCTGCCGGAAATGGCTGTAGAGGTAAATAATTCTTTCTTAAAGTTTCCCCTCAAAATGTTAGATATATTGAAATTTAGTTGTTTGGTGTATCATATTTTATAGATTGTATAAACAAAACAAATAACAATTATGTTTAAAGGTTTGAAAAAGTAGAGCAATCATGACTTTACAAGGAAGTCATTGAGACTATTGTAAAAGATATGAACATTTGAAACAGATTGATGCAGTAGGCCCGTTTGATCAAACAAATTAAGCATATATTAAAACCCGTAAAACCCGTAATAGTACTTAACTTCAAATTGATAACATTTTCAATGTTATATCAAGACAAAATGTGTTTGTATCGTTTAATGTTTCATGAAAGATGAGTATGTTTTTAAGAAATAATCAATCACCTCTTCTGACAAGAAGATACGAAGGCAAAATATTATGTCATTAACGTAATTGGCATTTTAAACAGTTAATCACATTTATATAAAGTGCTCAATAAAAATTCGTCAGGACTAACTTCTACGAACATGTACTTGATTTGAACAACATTATGTAACGAAACAAAAAAAAATTAAACAAATATTTTTCATGCGTGTATAATCTTGCGATTTAAGGTTTATAATCGATAAACAAAAACATGACTTGACGAGAATAAAAATAACTTGGTTCTCAAATCATTTCAGTTGTAAATATCTACACAACAGTTTAACATTCATAGTGGTTATTCACTACAATGAGGATGGCAGTCTATATTCACCTTGTTGTATTTATTGTTGTAAATTTTGAATATATCGATGTTGAAGCGGGTTGTCAAGGGGGTGTAAGCAGGTGTAATTGGGTACCTTGGAAATCATGGTCAGATTGTAGCAGGACTTGTGGTGGGGGAACAAGAAAGAGATCTAGGTCATATTGTTGTAAAGCGGACTTAGATTTTGATGATTGTATAAAGGATTGCGGACATAGCAGTAGCTATGGTTATACGTACTCATCCGACACACAATCTTGCAACAACATTTGTTTTAACGGTATTTACATAAATGGGACTAATTCGTGTACCTGTAACGATGAATTCTATGGAAGTTGTTGTGGCAATGGTAAGTGAACAGAGCATTATCTTATGTAACAAAACAAAACAAGTATTTAATTATTAATTAATTAATTAATTAATTAATTAAAATAAATTATTAATGTATTTATTTATTTGTTTATTTATGTTTTTATTTATTTATTTATGTATTTATTCATTTATCTATAATTCAGTTGGAAGACATCTTCACAAAATATAATCCTGCGAACTCAGACTCCCTTTTTATCTTTGAATATATTTATGTACTGAGAAAAAAATTTAAGAGCATAAATATTTCCATTTAATTTATAGTTTCTCATTTGATGTATATTCAGATTTTCGACATGTTTCCTTATTTTTCCATATTTAAGAATCATTGAAAGCAACATCTTTTGTTTTCTGTATTCCTTTTTTCCATCTCTATAACACTTTATTAATGTCCTCCTTTCCTTGGTATTACTTAGAAATTCTTGATCAATCTAGGAAACGCATCGATGCTAATTAATGGCATTTCAGTAAATCATCTTGCATTTATTAACAAAGCAAATAAATCGATCACACTTGTTTATAAGAAGGTTGTATTTAAAATTACGTTTACATTAAAAGACTGTATCTTCCACAACACTTTGCTATATGTTTCTTTTTATTTATACGGCTTTAAAATATCCTACATATTTCTCGAATTTGCATTGTTATAGCTCATTGCTATGTAATTTATTTATTTACTCTAACTGAATTCTCGATTTTCCAATATGCATGTGATGATCCATTCAAATAAATATTTTATCATATTTTGCGATTTACGCACTGTATGCCTTACCGTTTGGCTAATTCAATTAAGCCCTGTTTCACCGCTGATCACAATTTCATTCATGCGTTTTCGGACAGAATTCTTGTATCTTCGAGGAGCTATTCGTATGCGCGCTCGTTTTGCTATACCTCAGTAAAGATATGAGGTTTCCACCGGGCGCTAACTTTACGCATCTTAAAAACTATAGTACATGAGAGACAGTATAAATCGTATGTCCTCCACTGTATGTACCTTCTTATTTCGATTAATAGAAACATCGTAATATACAGTTTTTATATCTGGGTATTATAAACACGATATTTTAATAACATTAAACCTTGAGATTAAACGGTGTTTTTAATATAATAAAAGTTTTTATTTGCATTGCGAATTATACGAAAAATGGGAGTTTTAAAACGAATTGAAGAACACCAAATCCCCACCCACCCCTAATTTCTTTGAGTTTAATTTTGAAAGCCAAGCTGAAGACACGATTACTTGACCCAATGTCTAGTGATTCCAATAAATGAATTGTTTCCAGCGTTTGAGATGACTAGGTTATTTTCCAACAAAATATAAAGATACTAACGCGACGTAGATTAAAACAACTTAAATATAACCAGTCAAATAGTTATTCATTATATGTATTGTCATATGACAAACAACATTTTTACCATTTTATCAAATACTATTTCATATTTACGAGTTATACATTGTCTGGCAAAATTCTAATGGTATGTGTTACTTATTTAAATCGTATGCTTCCCGAATACCGGTATACTGATAAATGAACAGGTAACCATAAATGTACTGGAGAATCTAATAAAGTAAAATACTGACTCTATTCTTAATACTTACTGAATTATGAGAAAAATGAATGAGGATGTTATGTTAATTATTTTGTGCAAATTTAAGCAATATATGTATAATTGTTATATAAATGTACATTTGATTCATTAAAAATGGATAATTTAAATTGTCATCTCTTTTCCATACAGCAATTTGTCAGAATTAAATATACAGTCACATATAGGAAATAATCGTTATTATGATGTGCCATATTTTTAAACATTAAGTATTTTTCAGAGTGTCAACGAATTGATAACTGTAACAGGAGAAGATGCACTTATTCTTGAAACACTAAGTGTCTTGAGTGTAATTATAATAAAATATTTTTCAAATGATAACAATTTTGACAGAAATTAAGACCTGGACCGTCTTTGTTATTTGTCTTCTGCTCCACGCAGCTGACATAATGCCACGTGATATAAGTATATTTTTTATACATGTACTACGAAATTACACTATGAAAATGCGGGAAATACGATCCCGGACGTACCAGATCCTGCGATTTTTCCCTATCACCTTTTTGACTGGTGACTATGTTAACTTTCATAGATTAAGAAGGTCATTACAAAGAATAAATAGAAATAGACGCCGAGTCAATATTAACTTCCGGTAGGTTCACGTTTACGATATCCTTTTCCCGAACTGGAATTATTAATCCCTAATTTTGATTGTAAGTGAATTTGGGAGGATTAAAGTGAGATAATATAATGTTATTAACATCTTATTATTAAGTCAGTAAGTGAGGCAAAACAGCAATAACGAAATAATAGTTTTTATCAGTATTCAACAATTTCATTAACAATTTAATATAATCAAAATGACTAAACATAATTTAGAATAGTTTATTTTGATGAATAACCGATGGAATGGTGAATTTAGGTAATTAACTTGAACATTTTTGCATTAAAATTTTATGCATTAAATCAGGGTCTTACATATTTGAGAAATCTGACAAAAGAACCTTCGTATACAAGTATAAGAATTTAACCATCCCATGCATTTAAGTGTACTGACATTATCTTCCTGTATAATACTCATTAAAGATGTACGAATGGTTGCTAGTGTCATTTTTGAAGCACTGGTCTCCTAAATTAGATGTCGTGAGTGCGAAATCTATTGTTAATATTATCTTCCTTTTCACATACTTACATCTTTAATAAACGTGATTTTAAATAATGTCACCCGGAAATGAGTAATTTTGGCATGACTTTCAGCGGAAAGTACGTACAATCGTGATTTGAAAGTTATTATAGATATAAGAAAATATGTAGGACTAACTAATTCAATAATCCAAAAGTCCACAGCTAAAAGTAATTTAGACGACTTTTTCACCAGTAATTGAAACATTTTACTGTAAACTTACACTTAATTGTCTATAAACTTCTACTACATTTCTATGTTCGGTGATGATCTTTAGCCCTACGTAGATTGCACATGCGCGAGAAAATACTACATCCGGTCGACTTTTCATAACAATGGACCGCATCGTAAAAAGGTCTATAAGACATTCACGGTCAAATTCTGTTTAAACAGAGATTTCTAAAAAAAAAAACGTACCGTTTCACATTTTAATGCAAATACACAAATGAAACAAAAAACTTATTAAAAACATATAATATAACATTATTATCATTATTATTAAGTTCTGGTTTAATCTAGATTTTCAAAAAAAAAATTAAAAAAAAAAAAAGGAATAACAAATAGTGTCATTCCTCCGTAGATCATTCGTCTTATTCAGATCATACAAGATTCGTGTGCAGGTGGTTATTTTAATAGTACCTTTGCTGCTAAAGATATGTTTAAATCTGTACTGGTACGAAGCTGCTAAAATCATGAGCTTTTCATTTGTGTTAACATTTACATAATATTTTTTACCACAATAATGATGGTTTTCCGCAGTTTACAGATATTGGTAGAAATGAATCACATTTACAGCGTAAAGATTAAGTACAAACTGCGCTGATAATATTGTTCTTGTAACCTTGAACCCCTTGCAAAACACTCGTTGAATCGTGATCATAACTACCAAGGAAGAACATTTCAAGAAAAATATGAGTTGACATATTCAAAAGACACTTGACACCTTGTCCTTGCAACAGAAACACTTTCAGGGCTTACTTACTTAAAATAATTAAACAATAATTGCATGTATTCGATTCGATGCTTTTGTTATTTTATTTCCTGTGTCAAGATGTTTCCAAATATTTTTCATTCTTTTAACATGTCAATTAATCGGAATAAACACTTAGATAAGATATCATATCACATGGAAATCAATGTTTTATATTACGGTCATTCAAAACAAGAGTGTACAATTAAGAGACAACTGTTAAGTGTAGTGGATGTGTGCGTCTAAGTCACGCAGTAGACATATGGTGATATTTAATTTTGTAAACATTTTGAATTGTTATCTGAGATGAACTCTGTCAAGTCGTTGTAATAATTTATGCTAATAAGTGAAATTCTGGGATTTCATTTCGTGAGATAAAACCCATTTCAGTCAGAGTTTGTTACACATGGCGTTGGGAACGAAGTTTTGTCGAACTGTTTTGTGGCCTACGTATTATTCTGTGATTCGTAAATGTCCTAAAATATATTGTGTATCTTGTTTTTTATAGCAAATTTCTTGATTCAAAGACAATAATTTCGCTAAAATAAATAATAAAATAATTCTCCACAATGATAGCTCTAAGCTGTAACCTCTTTTGTTTAGCACAGTGTACACGTAGCCGTTGAACATCTGACGTCATTATCTTTACAACGGTCTGTTTCCCATGACTTAATTAAAATATTTATCATGCTTAAAAAAGTGTTATTGTATTTATTGTCAATATGCTATAACTAGGTTGTAATTTAGGTGTACTTTTACGAAAATACTTTTGCTAATCATTTGAAGCTGGTTTTATTAAAATTTAATGTTTTATCAAGGCATTTCCTTTCATAAAAGTGATTGCATCATCCAGTGTGTGCAGATTTATTTTTGATAGAAGTTCAGATAAGCAAGGAAAGTTTAGACATACATGTATTCCTGTAAATAGTAATTAAAATTTTTGGTCTTTTATATATCTTATACATTGGCAATTTACAACGATTATTTTATCTTTATTTATATGTATTTAAATGGTGTACGTTAATGAGACACATACATATAATAAACAAATTGTGCGGGTGGAATCGCAATTCTGATATAAGGCTAAGAGTGGGAATTTAAAACAGGACAATTCATTCCTCTGCTTATCTGAGTTTCTTGATTGTTAATCAGCATGGATATTAAAATCACTTGATAGATCGTATTTTAGCTAAATACATGTATTGCATGCCATTTATGTTTCTTGTCCTCGCAGTTTGCGATTTCCTTTTATCTCAAAAGCATACATTATTGATATAGCCTACCTTTTAAAGTTTTAACAATTTATTTCATAAACACTATTTTATTCTTTTGTTAGCATAGCAATTCTAAAACAACTATATTATATAGAGCCGTTTGGATTTATATGTAGGATGATTTATAAGCAAATAGAGATATTCTTGTTAAATAAACGTTTCTTTATCAAAGATTACCAATTTAAGCACAGTCGTTTAGTGGTTGCTTTCAACAAGGGCATTTACTTTGTTTTTGATATTAAGCTAATATTACTACATCCTAACATAAATGCAGTGTTGCTGATACTTCTTCAATCATATGTCTTTTCAAGTATTGTTGATTGCAATTATTTAATTGAAGTACGTCAAGTGTGTGCTTATTTATGTTTATTTAATTCATTTTAATTCACGTTTCTTTAAGAATCAATTCAAGTGAATAAATGTTTGACATGTTGTTACAAAGAACGTCATATACAGTTCAAGCGTGCCTTTTAATATGTTACAATAAAACGGAAACATTTTGACAGGTTTAATTATAAAACGTAATTGTACATAATTGTCGAATCGCCCACGAATGATTGATCTAGTTTATTGAGCAGAGCTTTTAAATATGCTGTAAATGTTACATTTAAAAAATATATAGTGACTAATACGATGCAACTATTGATTTTCGACATGTTTTATACTGACGAGCAAGGTTTAAAGACCTTGAAAGAAACATGTTTTATTATTCGTATTGCAAACCGTTTATAGCTAGGTGAGTTGCATAATTTGAAAAAGAAAATATATCTCCATTTTGCTACAAGTTTCGCCTTTTTATATGTACATCTTAATGATGTCTGACTTTTTTCTTGTATTGATATTGTTTTAGCTCATGCAATGTCATTCATTAGCTTAGTTTATTGTTATGAGTTGAACCAAGAGGTATCAACAAAAAACTTATATCATTAGGTAGATGTGCAGCGCATCAAACATCTGTCTTGCCTTATTTTGGAGTAATTTCCTTTGTTTATTTTTACACTTGAACTTTGTTCGGGACATAGCTTTAAAATTGTAAGATATATCGTAGGTAGAGAGATCTCAATGAGTAGAAATGCAGTGCACAAGTAACGTAACTCTGTCTTGACTAATTATTGACTTATTGGTCTAGGCACAATTCTCAAACCATAAGCGGTATCAACAAAACACTAGGGTAAGGTAGATCACATTAAGTACAAGCGCAGCGCATCAACGTTTATGCCTTGTCTATATTTTTAGTAATTACTTTTCTTCATTTTTACACTTGACCGTTTCGGAGACATAACTTAATAAATAATTTTCTGTGTCCAAAACTTATTCAGAGAGCATCTCCCGGTTGGACCGTCTCTCCTTTGAAGAGGATTAAACTTTGAATTTAGTGTTGTTTTGAATGCTTTATTTACATGGCAAATTATGTGAACCAAAAAGAAAACTCTCTGATTTTACCAAAAAATATCTAATTTCGAAAGGCAAACATTTACTAGATCACTTAATACCGTGTCAGTTGTTGTCAACAAAAAGGTGAGTCGTTTTCAGTATTTGAGATTACCATTTTTAACAAAACAAAATGAAAAATTTTCGACTTTAACATCTTATAAAATATAACAAGTCATATAATTATTTATATAAACATACTTGAAATCACCATTTTACCAAATACTTTTAATTGACGACAAGTTTATAGAATGAAAACATCTTCTTTAGACAAGTTTCATTGAAAACGGGGAAGAGACGGAATTTACCTAAATTTAAGGTTAAATCTATAAAAGGACAGTCTTTTTATAATTTAGGCAAATTTATAATTTGTCCTAATCATTTTCTAATTCCATCAGTTTGTCAATGGAAATATTAGCATACAGTCACATAAAAGCTATTATACGAGGGTCATTCAATAAATAATGAAACTTACGCGTGAGGGATGTTGCACTTATTCATTATCCCTCATGTACAGACTCAATCAGCGCTTCGGCAGGTCTTCTATTCCCGTTGCTAGGCAACCGCGCTGATATGACCTCACCTCCTCGACCACGGCAACTTCAAGCTCGTCTAGGTCGTCGTAACGTATTCCTCTCATATTTTCCTTCAGCTTGGGATATAAGTCATAGTCACAGGGACTAATATCCGGGGAATAAGGTGGGTGAGCTAATATTTCCAATACGTATGACTGAAACAGTGACGTCATCCCCTTTACACCGTCTGCCGTTGCGTTGTCATGAAGGATTATTGGATTAGCCCCTAAAAACTCAGGACGCTTTTTTCGAATCGCTGGTCTTAGGTGTTTTTAAGGTACTCCTCATAGTACTTGCCATTGATAGTTTTTCCACTTTGCACTTTATGACTTGTCAATACACCATGGATATCGTATGCAAATATCATTAGCATCTTAAGTTTTGACTGTACCCGTCTAAACTTTGCTGGCCTCGGAGAGTTAGGAGTATGCCACTCAGCCGATCGTCTTTTTAACTCTGGCTCATACGATCTTACCCAAGTTTCATCAATAGCCACAATTCTTGATAAAAAGTCTCTGCCCTCTAAACTAAACCGTGAAATATGGTTAGTAGCTATGTTCAAACGACGTTCTGCCTGCTCCGACGTCAAGCGATGTGTACCCATCTTGCTGAAACCTTGCGCATTTTAAATGGTTTCGAATAATTGTATGAACCGACCCTACACTTATTTCCAGTTCCTGTGCCAATTCTTCACACGATATCCTTCTGTCATGATTTAAAAGCTTTTTTACCTGGACCGTACTATACGAGTCAGTAGCTGTAACATTTCTCCCTGGTCGATGGTTATCTTTAACACTGTCCCTGCCGTCCTTGAATTTTTTTACCCATTTAGTAACTTGTACATACGAAAAAGTATAGGTGCCGCAAGCTTCCTTTAATGCATTGAATATCTTTTTCGCGCTTTTCTTACGCTGAAGTTCAATTTTGATGAAACTGCGCTGTTCCTGCGACGTGAACGCGGCTATGACGCTTTAAGTGACGTCAGTTTACGTCACATTGTGATGACGTCACATAATATGACGTCATCAATCTTTGTAAAAGAAATCGAGAATAGATTGACGTATAGTCATGTAAATTTTTATGGAATTCGAGTCATTAGTTTAAAAGTTATTAAGATGGTTTCATTATATATTGAATGACCCTCGTATATTCATTTATTTTATTCATTTAGCACACGCATTATAGCAGGTGAATCCGTCTCTTGTACATGTTTTTCTAATAATATTTTTATAGCAGAAATATTTCAGTAAATGTATTTAGTACACTTGCATATCTCTACAGGTTATTTTTTATCACAACTTGGAGAATAACCGTTTCTAATCTATAAATACAAAACATACACAGCAACGTGACCTGTCGTTGAAAAGATAAAACTGAATAATGACTATAGTGGCGAAATTAAATATGTGTTTGAATTTAAATTAATCTACTGTTAAATGTTTTTTATCAATTCATTTCTAGTGATGGTGTTATTTTTGTATTTAACAATATAGTGTCCTTTGTTCTTCTCATTGTTCACGTTCACGTGAACTCACATAAAATGTATGTACGGCAGGATTTAGCTGAAGGATATATTTAATGTTCTGACGTGTTGATTTGTTGCTATAGTATTATCATTTATATATCAGTGAAATTTTGCTCATATTTCCTTTACGCATTGATCTTGCAAAATTCATTTCGGGCATCATTTGCTTTCGGCTGGTTCAGTACATGGAACAACTTGAAATCGGGGTCAGTTTCTTCCTGTACTTGCGGAGGAGAAACCAGATATTAAACTTGTTCGATTTGTTGCGATGCTAATCTTAATTTTGAGGAATGTTTAGACAACTGTTGGTATTCAAATTCCCATCTAGAAGTAAAATGTAAATAATATTGTTTACAAAGAGGTCAATTTAAAAAGAAATCAGTGCCAGTGTCCGTATACATTTTACGGAACGTGTTGTAATAATAGTATATATAATTTTATCAATTTTGCCATTCGTGAGATTGAAATTAATTTTGAATCTCATTTTGTTCTTTTAATCTTATTCAATATTTGACTTTATATATTATCTTATGACTATTTGGCAATAATGAACTTTGATATTGTAAGCATACATGGTGTTCAATGATAAATATTTGTGATGTTATGACATACTGAAAATTGATAAATGTATTTTCAGAGTGCCCGCATATTGAGCACTGTAAGAGGAGAAGATGCAGTTCATCATTGGACACTAAGTGTCTTGAGTGTAACTATGATCAAAAACTGTTCAAGAAAACACAGAACGACACAAAATGTAGAAGTAAGTTGCTGCACATTATTGAGATGAAAATGTGTTCTTGTTGTATTAATACAATGTCATACTGTCAGTTAACCAAGAATTCATTTCTCAAATGTGTCAAAACAATCCTGTTACAGGTTTGGGTAAAGAAGGAGATCAATTGTTTATACCCCGAATGATTGACATCTATATTTCAAAAATACTTTATAATTATAACAGTGGCGGAATAAATGATATTAAATTAAAATATCCAGAATGATATTGTAAAGTATGTATATTTAATAAATAAATCGGTAGGATGTTGAACATTTTATCTTAAGTAAACAAAACACTAAAAATGTACACATCCGTGAAAATCGGGGTGCTCAAGGAAAAACGTGTTTTTAAATGGTATATCAGGGTGAAATAAACAGAAGTTTTTAGCTAACACATAATCAACAATAATTCTTCTTTGCGGAAATTAAAACTACGGTATGTAGTAGGTAAAGTGTATTTGTCTCGTAACAAGGTACAATTTTATTTGAAGCATGTATATATGCGATGTCATATATATCATGTTAACGTCTCTTTGTTGGGGAACAGTATACAGGATAAATATCGTTAATTTAACGAAACATCGATAATGTAAGTTTCTATTTTCTTGGACTCGCATTTACACAACAAAACATGGACGTTATTTATTTTGCCAAATTTAGCCAAATTTAGTTTTCTAGATCTATTTCAGCAAATACATGCATCACAACTCAATTGATAGGGAATTTGAATTCAAGATTCCCATTTGTTTCTATGACCACATATTGATGTGTATTTGAGTACGTAACTAGTTTTTAATATGTAATTATTATATAGACCAAAGTTATTTTAATTTCCATGTGTTGAGCCCTTGTAATATTGTTATTATTAAACGTGTAAGGTGAAAAAGTGGATGGATCTCCGACCCTATTTAACCTTTGATGGGCACAATAAACGGAGTTACCTGTTGGGCATCAAAAAGTTCTATGACCAATGATGTACATATATATATATGCGGTTATATAAAATATATATAAAACACAGTCCATGAGTTAACTTATTTAATTATTATTATAAGTTAACCCATGGACTGTGTTTTTTGTTTAATTTATATGTGACTTTTTTCCGGCACTTGTTTTCATTTTTTGTTTTCATAGCATCGAAAGAATGTCCTGAACGTAAATAAAATATAGGCCCGGCTATTGAGGTAATTTGATGTTTATGTATATAGAATTATAAAGGAAAATATGTTTAAGTCTATTTAAGTGCAACTGAACTCTAGAAAAGATATATCAATCTTGCTTATTGGATCAATATTTCTTCATTGATGTAAGTAGACTTTACAAGGAAAACACATTTAAAAGATCCCCCTGCGGTTATAGTTAGTCATAGTGCGTCGTGCATCGTCAAGTTTTGTGTGAAACCAGCATTAACCAAACTTTACATGAATGATCCTTGGATGGTGGCGGGGCCCGAAAAGAAGTTTCGAAAATGCAAATAAAATATCTTTTTGTCTGAAAGTTGAAGGCACGGAGCTTTGTTATTTAGTACATGAATTATATCATCTGTACGTCCTCTTCCAAAGTTGTTTCAATTTCATTTCTAGTGTAAAATTTGGCCACACCTCGCTGGGGTCATAGGTTTTCCTTATAATTATGTATATTAAAACCTTAAAAATATTCTTCTCTGGAAAGACAAAGCCTAGAGGTTAGATATTTGTACGTATAAGTAGATCTCAAGCAAGACTCTTCAAATTATAACCCAAAATATGTTCTGCCCCGGGGATCATCGATCATAATGAACCTACAGTAAAAAATAAAATTCTTCCTCTCCGAATTGACACAGGCTGGAGCTCAAATATTTGGCATGAAACATCGTCTACTGGACCTCTATCAATGTTTTTCAAATCCATGTTTAACATTGGTCCAACCGGGGGTCAAAGGTTTTCCTTATATGTATAAAGCAACAACTTAAAAAAACTTATTTCTGTTATGACAAAGGCTAGAGTTAAGATATTTGGCATAAAAAATGTGAAAGTCAAAATAGATTGTCCAATTTGTGGCCCTAAGGACAATAACAGCTCCGTCATGGGGGTCATGAGTTTTCTTTATAATATACAATTAAACAGAAACAAATAACAATGATTTTCTGAAAAGGAGAACGCCAGAGCTAAGGTTTTCTACATGAAACATTGTCTATTAGACTTGTTTCAAGATCGTTCAAATTAAAGCCTTTGGATCAAACTTTTGCCTTGCTCAAGGTGGTAAAGTGACCTACTTTCTTGTCCTTTGACGTACAGCTATGAAGTTTGGCCATTTTGAGAAATTGTAAATACAAACTTTTACTTCTTTTACATAAATAACAGTCTCTCCTCCTGTGACCGCTTTGGGCCAATGACCTCCTTGTTCGTGCGTTGTAGTGTAGAAATGTACGGTTAATCATTCAAATGCTTTGTAATTAAACACTCAGTATAATAGCAGCATGGATACTTATTCTTAATCTTACATTCAGACATGCTTTGAAAATTGATTTTATTTTCAAGATAAACATCTTTGGTACAGCTCAATACATAACTGATGCTTTTGCTTAAATTGCCCCAAAAGGCTAATAGCTATAAAACCAGGCAATGCATATATCATGTGGACATAACAAATGTTGACATGTCAAATCGGTACATTTACAAATATTTAATTATTTCATTCCAGCAGTCAGTAATTTGATAATTGAAATCAGAGAAAAAAATTCTGTATACTTGTATTTCAGAAATTCCTCAGAATTTAACACTACATCTAGAAAATCCACCAAGCAAGGACCAGGATGTAACTAACAATGCAGTTACTTTAAAGTGTACAACTGGGTGTATTTTTCCAACTCCATCATTTATATGGTATTATTTGCAGGTAATACATTCTCGAGAAAACGGAAAAAAACTATAATTTTCTCTTTTCTTCTCATTCTACAAACAAATACTTTTCTCGTTTTCGGGCCAGAACGATCCATTTATTAAAACTCTCATTACTATGCACTTATAATATTCTACTTTTCCCTTATTTGATAAAGAACTAATAAACTTAAGTGTTTTTTAGATTTAAATGAAGCGCTTTTTATTTCTTTCTGTGTATATAATTACCATAAAATCACGAGAAAAACACGTGGTTTGGGCATACTGATGATTAATTTAGTAACTAATGGCTGAAAATTCTTATTTAATAGTCGTCGGATGAATCTGGATCTAAATGGTCAAATTCAGAGCCTGTCACGGAAACACCTGGGCAATGTAAAGAATTTCAAAAGATGTTCACCTCTACTTTAGTTCTTCGGAAACACTCGGTGTTAAATGACAATGCTGACCATACCGTCAGGTTTCAATGTGGTGCAACGATTATGAATGGTACCTCTGATGAAGTAAAAACACAGTCATCTGTGAATATCAGATTTGCCGGTAAATGATTTTGTAACGTATCTTTGTCACTTCACCATCATCTTAAAAAACTGAAAGAGCTAAACAAGTTCATGAGAATGTTTATTTACCATTTACTTGATTGCTATATTTATTTTGGCCTCTTTATTGTTATCGAAGGATCTCCCGTTTCAGAATTCAGAACTGGTGTGAAGTGTTGTATTGCTGTGGAAAAACTTGTGTTTCCTTCCTGTTGTCAATTCCAGTACTTTAATTGTTAGGGGCTGAATACCGTTAAGGACGTTAATTCATTCGAGTGCGTAATTGTCAACCATTTGCTTTGTTTTCGTTGCTTTAAAGGAATCTTCTCTGCTAAGATTTCTTTATAGTATAATATCTATTGAACTTTTATTTGTTTATAAATTATAACTCCTAAGTAACCCTGATTAATTTTTGACATACTTAGAGTACTGAAGTAGATTTCATACTAGTCATGTCTCATTTCACAGTTAGAGTGGCGAAGGTATCACTAAAGATTGGAAGTAGATCTAGGGTCAGTTCTCTAAACGTTACCGATGGCATTTCTGAAATATTCAAATGTACAACTAGCGATAGCAGACCATTACCTACTATTGTATGGTATATAGGACAGACAGAAAAGAAAAGAGTTGTCGGTACGGAATCAACCCTTGCATTCATACCTAGTATTATGGATAGTGGCAAGGAAGTGTATTGTAAAGCTTTCAATATTCAGCCAGAAAATAAATCACTGTCTTCCAACAAAGTTTCTCTCTATGTTAGAGGTAAATGCAATCATGTATCAATTTTATTTTTTTTTTATATTTATTTATTTCCCTCGTCATTGGTATGTGGGGGTCGAGGGCATTCCCCTCCATACCTATATATATATATATATATATATATATATTATATATATATATATATATATATATATATATATATATATATATATATATATATATATATATATATATATATATATATATATATATATATATATATATATATACACGTATCAAATATTTGTTGATTAAGTAACAATTATTGTCATTGAGTATTTATCACAACTTCACATTTCCACAATAATATATACACATGTAAATACACAACATAATATAACAAAATCACAAGGGAAATAAAAGCAGAGAAAAAAGGAAAGGTAGCTCATACATTGAACAGAGAAAACATTACGTAGTTGTTTCTTATACTCAAACTTTTAACAAAAAGCAATGGCTGTATATTAATTAATTATAAATTTACTTTACTTTAAAAAGAATTAAATGATTTTTTGAACAATTGTCCAATTCATTATGTTATCTTTTGTATTTGTTGCACATGCATCAATAATTGAAGAGGCTAATTTAAAACTTCTAACTAATCCATCTATATTTGGTAAAATATTTTTTCTCCTACATAAATAAACATATCTCTTTATCTCTAGACATAGGATATTGTATTTTGACTGGCTCTTTTTTGTATTACCTAATATAAAAGTTTGACAATCAATATCAAATAAAGCATCATGATTCCTTACAATTTTAATAATTTCTGTAATCTATATTTTGACAAATGAACATTCCCAAAATAGGTGTAACAATGTTTCATGTTCTGATTTACAAAAAGTACACATATTTGTAACTGATAAATTCATTTTCAAAAGAAGATAATTACAGTATTATTGTAGTAGCTAATATTTTATGTGTTAGTCTTGTCTGAAACCATTGCAAGTAAGAATCATTGGTAATGTCAAAAACCCAACTATGTATTTTATTCCAGTCAGATTGACTTTATTGAAAGCAAGTGTTCCATTTAGTCTGACAAGTTGGAATATCATCATTTTTTATGTATATATTGTACATGTCTGATGTACCTTTAACACAAAGTAGTATAGGCTTTATATAACAACATATAATGGGAGAATAGGAAGCAATTTCATAATTATCATATAACTTTAAATTTAAAATACTTCTGTATTTCTTGACAGCACTGGTAATTAATTCATAGTAAATGAAGTTTACTTTAATACCTAATCTTGCTTCCAATTCATTCCTTTCAAGAAAAGTACCATTCACATTCATAATATCTTTGATAAACCTTATACCTTTATCATACCATGTTTTTATGAAAATAGGCTTTCTATCCATCAAAATATATTGGTAATAGAACAGAGGCATTTCTAACAACATTTCCATAGACATAATCGGTATTTTTTCTACAAATTCTACATAAGCACCTAAAACATCTTTCCAAAATGAATTTTTCAAAATATTATATAATTATATATTCTGTATATAACTTTCCACAATTAAACAGCTTCTTAATATCTAAAAAGTTATCTAAAATAGTGTATTATTTATCACATTCAGATGATACAATTCTTCTTAACCATGAAAATTTTAAACTTTTCATGTAAGCACATACATCAATCATTTTTAGACCACCATTTACATATTCAATCATGTATCTATTAAGGTATAATAAATTATTGTTTTTATTAATTTGTATATGTTTATAGTTTTTTGTCTAAAAGGAAATTAATACAAAATAATATTTCTTATAACCTGACAAAATTGCATGATACAATGCATCACACCTTCAAAATTTCATGATTATGAAAATGTTACTTCAAGACGTTTTACGACCACCAGGTCAAATGAAACACATCTTCTTTAATTATTGTACAATATTAAATTGAAATGTAAATTTACATGTGTAGGAAAAGATGAATAGGGAAATGTAACAAATAAATACTCTATTTGTTTGTCAAATGTAAGCACATTCGTTTTTGTAAGTCAATAGTTTACTGCTTAAATTAAAAATAAGGGTATATAGGCGACATGAATATAAATAATATTACCCCCAAATATATCAGCATGCGAGGCAACACTTATACATCATGTTATAGGCTTTGATTGTTTCTTTTCTTTTACAGTTTTTTATCGATACTAGTTAGGATAGAAATGCTGGAATATCAAAGAGAGTAAACCAGATTTTTTTCTTTGTTTAAGGTCCTCCACGGCCTGGTTGGCAGTCAATTACGAATACAACTTGCTCTATTGGCGCGCCCGTTACATTAACATTTACTGCTATTGCATATCCAATGCCAAGTTCTGATGGTTTCAAATGGTACAAACAAATCTCGAATGAATGGATACCATTACAAAGTAATAAAGATGTACAGATATCTGTAATAGGACTGGAAACAAACCTTACGATTGTCAATGTAACTCAGGCAAACCTAGGCCAATATCGATTAACAGTTGAAAACAGCGTCGGAATATATAACCAGTATTATTTCCTTATTGAAAAAGGTAGGTTTCATGATTTTTGTATAACTTTTGATTTTTTTATTTTCTACTGTGCTGTATTGTTATCATATTTATGGGTTTTCCTTGAATAATAATTGTAAAAACAATTTGTAGAAGAAAAATAATAAAGAAATTAACTGGTTAGTATTACTGGCAAATACACATCATCAAAAACGTTGGCAACTCAGTTCGGTCAAAGATTTCTTCATCCATTTGAATAATACATGCGTGAAAACATAATTTATTCTGTAATAAATAATTACTTTTTAAAAAAAATAGATGACCCCAGTGTTGATGTTGGCAAAGATACTATGAACAGAAGTGATTTCAAAACTGCCACAATTATATTTGGAATAATTTCTGTCATATGTATTGGTACTTCAGCTGGCATCGTGATTTGGTTTAAACGAAAAGCCAAAGGAACAGGTAACTATGTCGTTACGACTTTGATGATCGCCATCTGTATCATATCTATTTTTATATTTTCAATTCCGGATTTATCATTGTATACGAACAGGTTAGGTTTTAATCCAGATTATGATTTGACAATGGTAGACACATAATTATATATTCAATTTTGTTCACACTATAAATCTAAAGTTATGTAAATGTGAAACCAAAAATAAAACAAAAACATATAATTTATTATGCACATGTATGTCTAGATTTTTTGGCAGTTTGAAAGTTTTAAACAGTTACTACAATCATAAAAAATAATTAAGTCCAAATTTAATAACACTTATTATGTGATAAAGGAATTACATAAATTAACCGCCTTTTATTACATGCTTTTCGGTGGTTTATTGAAATATATCAGTGATATAAAAACTGGTAATTTCACTGTTTGAAACAGTGAAATTACCACTTTGATAATTTCACTGTTTTTGAATTTAAGCCCCTTACGTTGTTTCAGTGAAATACCAGCGTGCACAGAACTGGGTACCAACTTAATGACGTGACGTCGTAAATGACGTCACGTTGTATTATTATTTGGCGCGTTTTTCATTCAGTATTAGGTTTAATGTCTTTTTAAAGCGTTTCTTTGCATATAATAAAAAGAAAATTTGTTTAGTTTAGTGAAAGATAGAAATATATTTCACCTTGTGAACACCAAAAGTTCATATTTCACTCGTGGCTGCGCCACTCGTGAAATATACCTTTTGGTGCTCACTTGGTGAAATATATTCCGATCTTACACTGAACTAAACAAATATCCTCTATCTATTATGTTTTAGTCGTTGAATTCCTATAACGCATTTATCTTTAATGTCATTTATACATTTCACATTAATGTTAATTAAGGTTTTAAGTTTAATATGTTTATCAGTATACAATAACTTGCAAAAATAGCAATGTCCAAAACTTCGATACAATTTGTTGATGTGTTCATTTTGTTGCATACTAAATGCAAATATATGAAAATCCTCTACATTGCAGATAGAAAATCATGCACTAAATCGTCACATCAAAGGTATGTGTTTCCATTTCGTTTTTGATAAATAGTTTCATATCTTGTATTTATCACATCAAGTTTTACTTTTAAACTGTTGAAGCATTGTAAGTTCTAAGTAAATACAATTTTGTGAAGCACTTCCATACATACATATATCTATATTTACGCGCGTCAAAACAAATTTCAGAAGGTCCATAGTCTTGCATCATCTTCATCGTCTTAGAAAAAAGAAGGAACAGCTACTCATCCTTGATTTTACTTGACGATATACATATTAAACTGAATAACTTTACGATCAATAACGTTAACATTGTTGTTGTTGTTTTTGTATTTTCATAAGCCAAATTGGTACCTATGACTATACATCATACGAAACCGAAATGCAGGAATGTACCGGACAAGTATACGAGAATCTACCGCAACAAGGGCGTTTTCTAGAGACGACAATACAACCTATGGTGTTATAGATAACAGCTAATAACATTCAAGTACAGAAATGTCTTTAAACACTGTACCATAGAGATAACATTCACAATATCCCAATAAAGCCGCTGCTTAAGATACTATTGATCGTGTGATCAGCTTGTATGTGTCGTCTAAACTTGTCGGGTTGTTTTATTCCTAAAATAAAATATCCTTACTCTGATTTCTAAGTGAGAATGACATATTCTATGTACAGAAGATTTTATTGAATAAATTGCTTTGTGAAAACATTAAATGTTGACCTTTAGAGAGAAATGAATTTGTCATTTTTAACAGTACCTGTAGCATTCCCGTTCTTCAAGAAAGGAGATTTTGCTTAAAATCAAAATCAAACGAATGAAAACGGAGTGTTGTTACTGAAAGTATGTCAGCGTGTAAAAAGTGTTCGATCAAAGGCATTACGGAGGCATTGCATACATATAACATTAAGTAATACCTAATAGCATTATATTGCATAGATAATTGATCCTGCTTAAAGCATAAACGCATCACAGGAAAATTCAACTTTTTCAAGAACAAGTGATTTTACAAATTCAGGACACAGATGTATAAAAAAGTAGAATCTCTAAAGGCAATCATGATATAACCATTCAACATTAACAAGTTAAACGTTTAACTAAGTAACATAATATGGCGTTATCAAAGCCATGGTCACAAATATATAATATATTGAATGTCACAGTCATTGAACGTATGGTGATTGCTAAGGGAAACTTTTCATCAAAGGCTCCAACATGAGTACTTTTTGAATGTATTCAGAGATTTGATTTTAAAAAGGCAGACATGCTCTATATAACATTTTGTTCTCGTTTCTTTTGGCATCTAATAAAGAGACTAAATATTGTGTATGAAAAGGTATATCTAATTCTTTGTTATTTGTCATCAACCCACGGACTTCTTGCTTGCAGTTGTACTGAATTGCTGAGTTTATCATGTATATGTTGGGGTTTTTTCTTGTCTGCAAAAAACGCCTATATTTATGTAGCAAGAGGCAAAACGAAATAAATTTTAAAAAATTGTGCTCTATTGTTTTTATAATTATCATAATAAAATACAAAATATGACGCTCAATAGTTCATACACCCTTAGCATTAAAAAACAGTGTGCTGCTAAACAATCAAGATATGACAAACAGACAACAGTTTCTACTTATTATTCTATAGTTGTTTAGGCACCAAATCAACGTATGAAATAAAACGGAATTGGTCTAAAGATAAATTATGTTCAAATTTGATATTTGAAAATACTAAAAGTTGCTATACTGTTTATTTTCAAATGTAAAATAAGGATCTGTTGAGTGGAAATATAGAAGATGTTTTCACAAACTCTACATACTATTAGGTAAACATATTAAACGAGTTAATAGTGTCATAGTGTTTGTTGCAAAAAGGCCAATCTAACCTGACAGTAAAATGGATTGCAGCTCCCCAAATAAAGTTTGTACATTCTCTTATTCAAATTAGATATGATTTTCCTAGATTAAAAATTTTTTGCAATAAAAGTATTTTACCAATGTGAAGGATAGAATATTTAACAAATGTTTTGTAAATGATAATTGCATTACCTACCACACCTCTCATTAATCCTTTAAAATATCAAAATCTGCTTTTTTTTTCTTAAACGCGATGAAATACATTGGTTTTTTTTTTTTTGTTTTTTTTTGCTTTTTGCATTTTGCAAGATCCACAAAAGACTCGAGTTTTTTTTAAATCATTGGAAATCTTAATTATCTAAAAGAGTCTAAGATAAAACTACACCACAGACTATTTATATAGACAAACAAAGGGTCATTATACATATATAAAAGTGTTAATAAATATAAGATCAAAAGACCTATCATCTATAGATAAGTTTAACCTATTTCGTTGTATTCTTTGAAGGTCAGAAGTGTTGTGTCGAAGCTAAATGTCAAAATGAACAAATCAGCCATTTCAAGTAATTTGATGTTATCATTGATTACGAAAGGTACATTTTCATTTGAAAGAGTTAAATGGAATAAAAAATGATAAATTAAAAATATACATGCAGGGACATTCATGTTCAGTGTAACATTAAATTCACACTATTTGCATTAGTGTTCAGTCCGCCGTACAAAATCTAATAAATTTATTGTTCACTAAAGACAAGAATATTTAATCATTACTGAGATAACAAGCAATGTTTTACGGCCGCGAATGAATTGTGTAACTCGACAGCTTTGCACTGCATACATACCTTGACCTATGATTTTTTATCTGCGCAGTTGTAAGAATTAAAGTTATAGGGTAAACCGAAATTTTATTACGATCCGTACTGATACTCTTTTTGAAACTTCCAAATAGAAAAGGGTCAAAAGCTGCAACGAAAATATCCTTATGGTTTGTTCTTTCTGTTTGTCAGATTTTGTAAATTTTTGAATTTTGAATTTCACAAATCTGTAAGTGATTGTATTCATTTTGTCTGGTTTATGATTCCATAGACACCGTAGAAAATATGGCAAGTTTTTAGCTATATTGTTCCGAAAATGAAGTTTCAGTTCAACATATCACTAGAGTAGAACTCTTAGACTCCTCCGGTAGACTATCTAGCAAGATTCAAACCCACAGTATCGAGGCACAAGGCTTTTACAGTCAGTGTTCTTACATGCCCCGCCAACGGGCTTATTTACAATAATTACTTATATTTGATTATATTATTTGTTCATATTCTATGCAAGTAAAATAATTAGGTTCCGATGAATAGCTTTAAATCGCTATTCTGGTTACAGAAATAATGATTTAAGAACGAGGAAGTGAGTAATCGTCAATTTCTAGTTTTTATACAATTTGAAAAAAATATTTAATCCCTCTATATATACTTGTCTATGTTATTTTGGAACAAATGTGGATTTGATGTTTTGTTCTTACATTGAATTCACTTCATGACATAATTTTTAGGATGTTTTTTTTTATAAAAATATTTCTGAGCAACATATGACGTTACACAGTGCATGAAAAGTTCAGTGGACTGTATATTTACAAGAATATGTAGTAAATAATACTTGTTTACGTACACTTAATTTGAATTATTATTCGGATACTAGCTTATTGGCGTAAATTACATTTAAATACACATTTTTTTCAAATTACGATTTTATTTATTAGGAACAAATTTTAATTAGAACATTAAAATAATATGTTTTGCATTTCACAATACATGTATATAAAGTAAAGCAAAGCTAAATAAAAATGTTTTCCTGAATTAAAATAATCGTTTGTGCCTGTTTCTGGTGGCTGGAAAGCGCATTTAGTCTCCTTGATAGTGCGAAGATTTTTGAGGTATCGACTTTTTAATGGCCTCATCAGTGCTTTTCACACTATGTATAGACCGTTTAAGCTGCAAAACCGATTGAGAAGAATATATAGTTACATGGTTTAACAAGAAATAAATAAGAAATGAAAGAAAATTTAGGAACCATAGCTATAAATACCAGTAATGGAAATAACATGATTTAAGATTCGAAACCCAGCTACTGTAAGCAGTTACTTACACGACGTTTTCGTTGTCAGAATATCATTTCGTCAACTTAAGATTTGTAAGTGTTGAAGTCAATACATCTACAGTTTATTATATCAAGTAAATCATCCCTTGACGAATATTTCATAAGTCAATAAATTGCATAAGTATCATTCTTTCTTTCTTACGTTAATAAATACCTTTACTAAACCTAACATTTGGTTGAATGTACAAATTGTATCAGAACAAAAACACAACTCATTTAGGGATATAAATGCGATGGTTTCATTTCCAATATTTTTGTCAACCATTAATATAACCAACAATATGCAAATATGGTAGAACGTAAGTTTTCTAAAATTATCTAAGCAAGTAAAATAAGTGATGGTAGTACTGTTCCATTTTTTTTAATTTATCACGCATGTTATATTTTATACTTTAGCTTTTGACCGACGATATATTTTATTATGTGTCTAAAATCATTTCAGCAAGTAAAGCACTGGAGTTTTGTAATGCTTCATTTTCTTTAATCAATAATGCGTAAGACTACAACAATATGACCAACGACATATTTTACCATCAAACGTTATCACACATATTTGTACTTTAAGCACATGCATGATTATGACCGTTTTATTCCGATTATGACCGATTATTCATTTGTGGATCTTTTTTATTACAATGAACGATGTTGAATTTTGATAAAGTCCACCATGTACATTACTCAGGTGGTTCGTTCTATGGGGCGGTACTAAAACTTTTAAGTACCATCCATTTTCAGGCTCAATCAAGCCGAACCTTGAACATTGTCAATTTTACCGTTCAAAATATTGTTAGGGATTCCGTCTTCTATATTCACTTACAGGTAAAATCACTTTTGAAAAGCTGTACGGTAATGCGCTAAGAAAGAAGTTGACAAAGATATCAAGTAGCATGCAGACATAGCCGAGAAGCTGCATCTTTAAAAACGTAACATTTCATCGTAGTAGGAGAAAAACACAAAGTACTCGTATCTTTGTTAAAAGTACTTTTCTATATAAACGCCAATTTTGATGCAGTTTTGACCATATTTTTGCGGTCGATCCATTCTAACTGACTTTCCTATTATTATCATTTTCTCCGCAATTGACCGACTATCTGAAGCCTTAAAGCATTATAACGTATTGTGTTTTACTTTCCAACTGCCAGTTTCTAACATTTTCGTCTGTTTTCGTAATTACATGTGATTGGTAAATAATTTTATTTCGTAAGTAACATTGATCTCTTTACCAATTTATAATTCATTAGTAAAATTCTATATTCTATGAATATGTACTTTTCTACCTCAATCTGTTTTGTAACGGCAATGAAATTTTTTCCAGGATTTTGTTAAAATGCAATAGTGCACGTGCTCTTTTGTGTTAAATTCAATAATAAATAGCTAAATAATGCCCTTTTAGTCAAAGGATCAGACACATGTGCTTTTAAATATTTGCATTGAAGTGATAAATATGTAGTATGTAGTTAAGAGTAAAATTAAAAGCAGCAATTCATCTGTTCAAACAACTTTAAGTTGACAGCCTCAGACCATGTAGTAGATGTAAAATGCTTATTTAAGTGATTGATGTGTAAAGAAATTTATGTGCATCGATAACATGATGAAAATGCTTTATTTTGATTGTTGTTTTTTGTTGTGTTTTTTTTTTTTTTACTTTTTTTATTTTGAACAAATTACACGTGATAAGATAAAAATACCAGCTACATTGTATATCAGTATTTTCACCTTATCAAAGTTTCCCGCACGAAAAAGCAAAATCTTATTACTTCGAAAAAGTAAATATTAATAGTGTGCTGTGCAATTTGTACAAAAAGGTCTTTGAAAATAATTAACTACGAAAATCTAAAATTAATAAAGATTGAATCTTAAACATCTATTTCAGTGAAACAAAGATTTTTATTTAAAACATTGTGTATGAAGCTGTTCCGTTTTTCATACCAAAGCTTTATACTATATTAAGCTATTTAACTTTACAGCATATTGGTATAGTTACATTTTAAGTTTTGTAGTTGTTGTTTGTTGTTGTTGTTGTTGTGTTGTTTTTTTTTGCATGAAATGAACACTTTGAGATGACTTGAAATATGATGTCACCAGATAGAAACAAGCAATACATTTCGAACATCCCTGGTATATTTTTAAGAAATAACTAATCACCTCTTCTGCAAGAATATACAAAAAGAAAATATTATGTCATTAACGTTATTGGCATATAAAACAGTAATTAAGATTTATAAGCTGAATGGAATGCGTTCACTTAAAATTGTTTAAGACTAACGTCGACAAACATATACTTGATTTAAACAGCATGATGTAACGTTACAAACCAAATCAAACATTTTTTTTTTCATTAGACATTGATGATTGATGAGGGATTGCGGACATAACAGTAGCTATTTACATAGGTACTCATACGACAAGCAATTTTGTAACAAAATTTGTTTTAACGGTATTTATATAAATGGGAATAATTCTTGTAGCTGTATCAATGAATTATATGGAAGTTGTTGTGACAATGGTAAGAGAACAAAACTTGTATTTATTTATCTATTAATTGTTTAATTAATTAAATCATTTATTTATTTATCTATTCATTTATTTTTAAATTTATTTATCTATCTGTCTATTTATAATTCAGTTGGAAGACATCTTCACAAAATATACTCCTGAGACCGTCTTTGTTATTTGTCTTCTGCTCAACGCAGCGCAAGTAATGCCACGAGATATAAGCATTTGTTTTGATACATGTACTACGAAGTTGCACTATGAAACCAGATCCTGCGATTTTCCCCTATCACCGTTTGACAGATGACTATGTTAACTTTCTTTGATTTAGAGGTCATTACAAATAATAAATAGAAATACACGCCGAGTCAATATTAACTTCCGGTAGGTCACGATATCCTTTTCCCGAAATGGAATTATTAATCCCGAAATTTGATTGAAAGTGAATTTTGGAGGATTCTGGTGAGAGAATATTATGTTATTGTCATCTTATTATTATGTCATTGACTGACTTTATTTAACCATGCTGAGCGTGTTTAATTAATCAAAAATGCCACCGTTTTAATAGCAATACTGGACATGATTTAAATTAGTTTCATACTGACTAGTCGCAAAAACAGATCTTGCACTCTCCACGTGACTACATTTTTATGTTGGTTTGACAAAGAAATGCAAATTTATTTTAGTTTGAGAATGTGAAACACAAAATATAGAGTCGGAATGGAAAAAATAAATTGAAATTATGCATTATGCGTGGGGCAAAACAGCAAAAACGAAAGAATAGATTTTATCAGTATTCAACAACTTCATTTACAATTTGATATAATCTTAATGACTAAACATAATTTAGAATATTTTGTTTTGATAAATAACAGGTGGAATTGTGAATTTAGGTAATTACTTTGAACATTTTTGCATTTATGCATTAAATCAGGGTGTTTTATATTTGAGAAATCTGACAAAAGGACCTTTGTATACAAGTATAAAAATTAAACCAACTGTACTGATATTATCTTCCTTTATAATACTCGTTCAAGATGTACGAAGGGTTGCTTGTGTCACTATAGAAGCAATGACCTCCTAAATTAAATCTATGATTAATATTCTCTTCCTTTTCACAAACTTCATCTTTAATAAACGTGATTTTAAGTAATGTCAACTTAAAAGGGTAATTTTGGCATGACTTACAACGGTTAGTACGTACAATCGTGATTTGAATGTTATATATAGATACATGTACAAGAAAATTTGCGGGACTATCTAATTCAATAATCCAAAAGTCCAAAGTTGAAAGTATCATTAGACGACTTTTTCACAAGTAATTGAAACATTTTACTGTAAACTTACACTTAATTGTCTAGAAACTTCTACTACATTTCTATGTTCGGTGATGATCTTTAGCCTTACGTAGATTGCACATGCGCGAGTAAAATCCTATATCCGGACGACTTTTCATAACAATGGACCGCATCGTAAAAAGGTCTATAAGTCATTCACGGTCAAATTCTGTTTAAACAGAGATTTTCTAAAATAAAAACATACCGTTTTACATTTTAATGCAAATACACAAATGAAACAAAAAACTTATTAAAAACATATAATATAACATTATTATCATTATTATTAAGTTCTGGTTTAATCTAGATTTTCATAAAAAAGTAAAAAAATAGGAATAACAAATAGTGTCATTCCTCCGTAGATCATTCGTCTTATTCAGATCATACAAGAATCGTGTGCAGGTGGTTAGGTTAATAGTACCTTTGCTGTCTAAAGATATGTTTAAATATGTACTGATACGAAGCTGCTAAGCTTTACATTTGTTTAAACATTTTGAAAATCGGAAAAATCGCAAGATATTAGCAGTTCAAAACAGAGGTATTTGTATTGTTTTACGTAGCACAAGCAAGATCGATTTTACTTGCAATTCAGGACAGGTATCTTTTGGTGTAGATTTAAATATTCTTTGGTTAAAGGCACTGAAGATGGAATTGGATACCGTGATCTCGTCTACGGTATGTATCTCCCCTTTCCCTTAAGATATTTTTTATTTCAATTTTACACCCTCTTTCTCCTTCACACTTGTCCTTTTGTAGGTCTTTCGTTAATTTTCATTAATGATTTTCATCCTTAATTACCTTGTGAGTTTCTATGATGTTCTGCTTATAATTACATCCCTTCTGTTGCTTTGCCCGTGTGTCCCGTCCTTCGATATACATGAATGTCGATGGTCCTGTGTTGGGCTATTACCGTCAGTCGTAAGCTCTTATATGAAATATGCGGCGTGGTGTTGTGAAGTTAGAGAAGCGGCTGCAATTCAGTAAACGGTTGATGATGATAATGATGATGATTACGTCGGCAACGATAATAATCTTAATAAATACTGTATTAAGATTATGGTCATAATGCTCACGATGTGGATTTGGTTGCTTAAAACGGCTTTTAGTTTAGAAAGTTGTAAAAAAAAATGTGTTATTTCTTTTCCTAGATTGCCATGGTTATACTTGCACTGGACTCGCCATTGAAAGTATTTACCATGGTCATGACATGACCAAAAATTGGCATGGCAAAATTTCAAAATTTCGAGATTTCGATTGAAGAAATAAAATGTACATGTTATAATGAAATACAATACGTTTAATGCATTAAAAAAGTGTACCATGCCAAAATTGCCATGGTAAATTTACGAAATAGTTGCCATTGTAAGAACATGTCGGCCATGGCAAAGCGTTTTTCAAACTTTGCAAGCATTTTTACAGACAAATAGGAACAATTGAAAAACGAAACACATTGACTTTTAGACCTTTAAAGAATGTAACAATTTTAAAAAGTTTTCATTTGTAAAGCACGCAAAAAAGCATAATTGAATTTGCCAAAACTGGCATAGCAAAAAGAAACCGGCAGGTATTATAAAAAATTTGTAACTGCAATTATATACTATTTTTTACCACAATAATGATGGTTCTCCACAGTTTACAGATGTTTGTAGAAATGAATAATATTTACAGCATAAACTGTGCTGATAAACTTGTTCTTGTAACCTTGAACCCCTTGCAAAACACTCGTTGATTCGTGATCTTTACTACCAAGGAAGAACATTTCAAGAAGATATGTGTTGACATATTCAAAAGACACTTGACACATTGTCCTTGCAACAAAAACGCTTTCAGGGCTTACTAACTTAAAATTGTTAAAGAATATTTGCATGTATTATTTTATTTTGTTATTTTATTTTCTGTGTCAAGATGTTTCCAAATATGCCTCTTTCTTTTAACATGTAAATTAATTGGAATAAACACTTTAATATAAATAGAACAAGGAAGATATCATATCACATTGCAATCAATGTTTTATATAATGGTCATTCAAAACAAAAGTGTACAATTAAGAGACAATTGTTTAGTGTAGTGAATGTGTGCGTGTTAGTCACGCAGTGGACGTGTGGTGATATGTAATTTTGTTAATATTTTGCATTGTTATCTGAGATGTACTCTGTTAAGACGTTGTAATAGTTTATGCTAAAAACTAAAATGCAGGATTAAAAACATAAATGTTTACATTTCTGATTATTATTCTATTCGAAATGACTAGATTCAAGAAGAATAGAGCAGAATATCCTATCAGCCCTTGGTAACAAATGAATACACTTTTTCAAAGTGTCACAACTTGGTAATATAATGAATACCTAATATAATAAAGTTAATTTTATACTATTTGCATTTGTTTTTATACATGGGTTGTAATTTAGGTGTACTAGGTGATTGTATCATCCAGTGTGTTTAATTAACTTTGGCAGATTTATTTTTGATAGAAGTTCAGATAAGAAAGGAAAGTTTAGACATACATGAATTTATGTAAATAATAATTTAAAATTTTAGTCTCTTATATATCTTATAGATCGATTATTTTATCTTATATGTATTTAAATGGTGTACGTTAATGAAACACATACATATAATAAACATGTTGTACGGGTGGAATCGTAATACTGATATAAGGCTAAGAGTGGGAATTTAAAAGAGGACAATTCATTCCTCTGCTTATCTGAGTTTCTTTATTGTCAATCAGCATGGATATTAAAATCATTTGATAGATCGTATTATAGCTAAATTCATGTTTTGCAAGCCAAATATGTTTCTTGCCTACGCAGTTTGCGATTTCCTTTTATCTCAAAAGCATACATTATTGATATAGCCTACCTTTTAAAGTTTTAACAATTTATTTTATAAACATTCTTTTATTCTTTTGTTAGCATAGCAACTATAAAACAGCTATATTATATAGAGCCTTGTGGATTTATATGTAGGATGATGCATAAGAAAATAGTGATATACTTGTTAAATAAACATTTCTTTAGCATAGATTACAAATTTAAGCACAGTCGTTTGTTGCTTTCAACAAGAAACAATTACCTTGTTGTTTATATTATACTAATATTACTACATCCTAACATAAATGCAGTTTTGCTGATACTTCTTCAATCATGTGTCTTTTTAAGTATTTTTGATTGCAATTGAAGTACGTTAAGTGTGTGCTTATTCATGTTTATTTAATTCATTTTAATCACGTTTCTTTAAGAATCAGTTCAAGTGAAAAAAACGTTTGACACGATGTTACAAAGAACGTTACACACAGTTCAAGCGTGCCTTTTATTGTTACACAATAAAACGGAAATATTTTGTTAGGTTTAATTTTTGAACGTGATAATACATAATTGTCAAAACGGTGCTCGAAATCGTCCACGAATGATTGATCTAGTTTATTGAGCAGAGCTTTTAAATATGTTGTAAATGTTACATTTTCAATAAAGATATAGTGAAAAGAGTATTTTCAGAGTGCCCGCATATTGAACACTGTAAGAGGAGAAGATGCAGTTCATCATTGGACAATAAGTGTCTTGAGTGTAACTATGATCAAATACTGTTCAAGAAAATACAGAACGACACAAAATGTGAACGTAAGTTGTTACACATAATTGAGATGAAAATGTGCTTTGTTGTATTAATATACAATGCCATACTAAATTCACCAAAAATACATTTCTCCAATGTGTCAAAACAACCCTATTAGTTTGCAACCACAGGTACGGGTAAAGATGGATATTAATTGTTTATACCCCGAATTATTGAAATCTATATTTCAAAAATACTTTATAATTATGATAATTGCGGAATATATGATAAATCAAAATATCCAGAATGATTCTGTAAAGTATCTATATTTAAAAAATAAATCGGTTGGATGGGTGCTCAAGGAAAAGCGTGTTTTTAATGGTATCGCAGGGTTGAATAAACAGAGGTTTTTTTTAGCTTACACGTAATCAAAAATATTTCTATTTTGCGGAAATTAAAACTACGGTATGTAGTTGCTAAAGTGTATTTGTCTCGTAACAATGTACACTTTTTGTCATTTGAAGCATGTAAATATGCAGTCATCATAATGTTAATGTCTCTTTACTGGGGAACATTAAATGAGATTAGGATACAGGATATATATCGTTACTTTAACGAAACATCGACAATATAAGTTTCTATTTCCTTGGACTTGCATTTACACAACAAAATATGAACGTTTTTAATTTTGCCAAATTTAGCGGGTTTGTTTTTAGTTTTCTAGACCTCTTTCAGCAAATACTTATACAAAAAAACAACATGCATCACAACTCAATTGACGAGGAATTTGAATTCAAATATTTCCATTTTGTTCTATGACCACATATTGATGTGTATTTTAGTACGTTAATAGTTTTAAAGTGTAATTATTATTTGCCAAAAGTTATTTTAATTTTCATGTTGAGTCATTGCTATTTTGTTATAATTAAACGTGTAAGGTAAAAAAGTAGGCCCGCTACGAAAGTAATTTGACGTTAATGTAATACTTTATAGAATTAGAGATTTATACAGGAAAATATCTTTTAAGTCTTATTGAGTGCAACTGAACTCGTACTCTACAAAAGAAATATCAATCTTGCTTATTGGATCAATATTTCTTCATTAATGTTAGTAGACTTTACAAGGAAACACATTTTATAGATCCCACTGCGTCATCGTGCGTCGTGCATCATCAAGTTCTTTTATCAACGTCTCCTCTGAATCCAGCATTAAGAATAATCCTTGGATGGTCCTTTTTTTAAATGTCTTCAAATAGTTCCTGTTTGTTGCATGAGTAAGTGACGAGGCCCGAAAAGAAGTTTCAAAAATGGAAATAAAATATCTTCTTCTCTGAAATGACAAGGCATGGAGCTCTGTTATTTAGTACATGCATTATGTCATCTGTACGCCCTGTAGCAAAGTTATTTCAATTTTACCCCTAGTGTCAAATTTGGCCAGACCCCGTTGGGGTCTAAGGTTTTCCTGATATGTATATTAAAACCTTGAAAATTTTCTTCTCATGAAAGACAAAGCCTAGAGGTTAGATATTTGTACGTATAAGTAGATCTCTAGCAAGAGTGTTTAAATTATAGCCCTAAGGTCAAAATATGTTCTGCCCCGGGGATCATTGCTTTTCATAATGAACTTTAGTAAAAAAATTATTCCTCTCCGAATTGACACAGGCTAAAGCTCAAATAGTTGGCATGAAACATTGTCTAGTGTGCTTCATTCAATGTTGTTCAAATTTTGCCTCCATATTGAACATTGGTACCACCCCGGGGCCATAGGTTTTCCTTGTAGTTATGTATTAAGCAAAAACTTAAACAAAACTTCTTTTCTGTAATGACAAAAGCTAGAGATTAGATATTTGGCATGAAACAAAGTGAAAGTCTACAAAGATTGTCCAATTTATGATCCTAAGGACAATATAAGCTCCGTCCTGATGGTCATGAGTTTTCTTAATTATAAACATTAAACAAAAACAAATAACACAAATTTTCTGAATGGAGAACGCTTGAGCTTAGGTATTCTACATGACACATTGTATGTTAGACTTGTTACAAGATTGTTCAATTTAAAGCCTTAGGATCAAACTTTTGCCCTGCCCAAGGTGGTAAAGTAACATACGTTCTTGTCCTTTGACGTACAGCTATGAAATTGGGACATTTTGAGAAATTCAAAACAGAAACTTTCACTGCTTTTACACAAATAACAGTATCTCCTCCGGTGACCGCTTTGGGCCAATAACCTCCTTGTTCGTACGTTGTAGTGTAGAAATGTACGGTTAATCATTCATATGCTTTGTAATTAATTATTCGGGTCGGCTTTTAAAATTGATATATATTTTCAAAATAAACATCTTTGGTAGAGCTCAATACATAAAAAAGCTAATAGCTATAAAACCAGGCAATGCATATATCATGTGGACATAACAAATGTGGACACGTCAAATCGGTACATTTTCAAATATTTAATTATTTTATTCTAGCTGTCAGTCATTCGATAATTGAAATCGTGAAAAAAATTATGTATCCTTTTATTTCAGAAATGCCTCAGAATTTAACACTACATCTAGAAAATCCACCAAGCAAGGACCAGGATCTAACTAAAAATGCAGTTCTTTTAAAGTGTACAACTGGGTGTATTTCTTCAACTCCATCATTTATATGGTATTATTTGCAGGTAATACATTCTCGAGAAAACGGAAAAAAACTATTAATATATCTTTTTTCTTCTTATTGTACGAACAAATATTTTTCTCGTTTTCGGGCCAGAACGGTCCATTTATTAAAACTCTCATTACTATGCACTAATGATATTCTACTTTTCCCTTATTTGACAAAGAAATAAAGAACGTAAGTGATTTTTAGATTTGAATGAAGCTGTTTGTATATCTTTCTGTTTATGTTATTACCATAAAATAACCAGAAAAACACGTGGATTGGGCACACTGATGATTAATTTAGTAACTCATGCCAAATTCTATATAGCTGAAAATTGTTACAATTTATATTCTTATTTTATAGTCTTCGGATGAATCTGGATCTAAATGGTCAAATTCAGAGCCTGTCACAGAAACACCTGGGCAATGTAAAGAATTTCAAAAGATGTTCACCTCTACTTTAGTACTTCGAAAATACACAGTGTTCAATGACAATGCTGACCATACCGTCAGATTTCAATGTGGTGCAACGATTATGAATGATACATCTGATGAAGTAAAAACACAGTCATCTGTAAATATCAGATTTGCCGGTAAATTATTTATTATCTTATCATATTTACGCCCATGCCGCTTTTGTAACGTATCTTTGTCTCTTCACCATCATCTTAAAAAACTGAAAGAGCTTAACAAGTTCATGAGAATGTTTATTTACCATTTACTTGATTGCTATATTTATTTTGACCTCTTTATTGTTATCGAAGGATCTCCCGTTTTCAGAATTCCAGAACTTGTGTGAAGTGTTGTATTGCTGTGGAAAAACTTGTGTTTCCTTCGTGTTGTCAATTCCAGTTCTTTAATTGTTAGGGGCTGAATACCGTTAAGGACGTTAATTCATTCGAGTGCGCAATTGTCAACCATTTGCTTTGTTTTCGTTGCTTTAAAGGAATCTTCTGTTCTAAGATTTCTTTATAGTATAATATCTATTGAATTTTTATTTGTTTATAAATTATAACTCCTAAGAAACCCTGATTGAATTTTGACATACTAAGTATTGTAGTAGATTTTATACTAGTCATGTCTCATTTTACAGTAAGAGTTGTGAAGGTATCACTTAAGATTGGAAATAGTTCTAGGGTCAGTTCTCTAAACGTTACCGATGGTATTTCGGAAGTATTCAAATGTTACAACTCGATAAGACCATTACTACAATTGTAGGGTATATAGAAGGGAAGAAAAAAAGAGTTTTTAACGGAATCAACCCAGGCATTCTACCTATATTTCAAAGGGAAAGGGAAGGTATTGCAAGTTTAAAATTTTCGCCAGAAAGAAGCACTGTCCCCCAACAAATTCTCTCTATGTTGAGGTAAACCCAAAGATTTTTGAAATAAAAAAATTATTTTTTTTATATATTTGTATATGTATGTTTATAGTTGTCTGTCTAAAAAGAAATTAATACACAATAATATTTCTTATAACCTGACAAATTTGCATTAAAAAATGCACCACACCTTCAAAATTTCATAATCATAAAAAATGATTCAAGATTTTTTACGACCATCAGGTCAAATGAAACATCTTTTTTTATCAAATTACTGTAAAATATTCAATGGAAATATATTACACGCCAATCATCTATTCATTTTCGTTTATCTAGAGCGTGCGTCAGTGAATTCGTTATATTTTGAAGAGCATGCTGGTGAGACAAACGTTACGATCGACGAGAACTACGTTAACTTGCAGCTTACGTGTAACATTAGCGGTAACCCTGCATCAAGTGTGGAAATTAAGTTCGAAGAGAAAAGTTTAATTGAAAAAGCTAACATAACAAATTGAGATTTGTTCGTCAGAGAGTGGCTTGTTTCCACAGGGGTGAATATACATGTGTAGGAAAAGATGAATTGGGAAATGTAACAAATAAAACACTATATTTGTTTGTCAATTGTAAGTACATTCGTTTTTTAGCTCGACTATTCGATAAGAATAAGTAGAGCTATTGTAGTCACCCGAGCGTCGGCGTCGGCGTCTGCGTCCGCGTTGGCGTAACCACTTATGTTAAAGTTTTTGTAATAGTTTAAATATTTTCAAAGTCGATTGACATAGGGCTTTGAAACTTTGCACACTTGTTCACCATCATGACCCCAACATGTAGACAGGAGAATGTAACTCTATCAAGCATTTTGACAGAATTATGCCCCTTTTTCGACTTAGAATTTACGTTAAAGTTTTTGTAATAGTTTAAATATTTTCAAAGTCCATTGACATATGGCTTTGAAACTTTTCACACTTATTCACCATCATGACCCCAACCTGTAGACAGGAGGAGGTAACTCTATCAAGCATTTTGACAGAATTATGCCCCTTTTTCGACTTAGAATTTACATTAAAGTTTTTGTAATACCTCAAATGTTTTCAAAATTGATTGACATAAGGCTTTGAAACATGTTGAAATTTTATACTCTTCTTTGAGAGCATAATAGGACTCTCTCCAAGGCCTATAACTGTGATATGGATTTAAAGAACAATTTTGCCTTTTTCTTTACTGAGAAAATTTACCTTTTAATCAAGGCTTTTTTTACTATCAAGCACTAAGAATAGTCGAGCGTTGCTGTCCTACCGACAGCTCTTGTTGTATGTCGATAATATACTGCTTAAATTAAAAAATAAGGGTATATAGGAGACATGAATATAAATAATATTACCCCAAATAAATCAGTGTGCGAGACAACACTTATATATCAAATATTTAAGCCATTGATTGACAGCCTTAACAGCTTTAATAGCCTTTTTATCGATACAATTTAGAATAGAAATGCTTGAATATCAAAGAGAGTAAACCAGATTTTTTTCTTTGTTTAAGGTCCTCCACGGCCTAGTTGGCAAGCAATTACGAATACAACTTGCTCTATTGGCGCGCCTGTTACATTAACATTTACTGCTATTGCATATCCAACGCCAAGTTCTGATTGTTTCAAATGGTACAAACAAATCTCGAATGAATGGATACCATTACAAAGTAATAAAGATGTACAGATATCTGTAAAAGGACTGGAAACAAACCTTACGATTGTCAATGTAACTCAGGCAAACCTGGGCCAATATCGATTAACAGTTGAAAACAGCGTCGGAATATATAACCAGTATTATTTCCTTATTGAAAAAGGTAGGTTTCATGATTTGTGTACTGTGTTGTATTGTTATCACATTGATGGATTTTCCTTGAATAATAATTGTCAAAACAATTTGTAGAAAAATAATCATAAAGCAATTTACTGGTGAGTATCACTGGCATATATGCTTCATCAAAACATTGGCAACTCAGTTCTGATAAAGATTTATTTATTCATTTGAATAAACTTGTATGAAAGATCATTAATTCTATAATAAACAATTACTTTTTAGATGACCCCAGTGTTGATGTTGGAATAGAAACTATGGTCAGTAGTAATTTCAAAACTGTAACAATAGTATTGGCAATAATTTCTGTCATATGTGCTGGTACTCCAGCTTGCATCGTGATTTGGTTTAAACGAAAAGCCAAAGGAACAGGTAACTATCTCGTAATGACTTTGATGATCGCAATCTGTATAATAATCTTTCTTTTTAATTTTCAACACCGGTTTTATCATTGTATTCAAACATGCTAGGTTTTAATCCAGATTAAAATTTTACAATCATTATGGTAGACACATAATTATATATTCAATTTAGCTATAAAATTGTTATGATAAATATGAATTTAAGTAAATGAGCAACCATAAAAAACATGGATATGTGCGTCAAAACTTTATGGCAGTTTGAAAAATAACTGCAATTGATTTGAACAGTAAGTGCAATCTTACAAAGTCTCCCCTTTACTTCAAATAACGTAACACTAACATATATTTCGCCTCGTAGCACTGCACAATAGCTATGAGAGACTGTTAATCAACCAAAACCATACAAATATATCAATATTTATGACAATACATGTATTCATATGACAACGCACATGACATTTACAGTCGCACGACGTCCAGGAAAACAATAGAGAATAATCATTTGATAAAACCTGTGTCCAATTTAACAAGTTCAGTGCCTTCCTCATCGGCGTGTGTGGACTTCACACAAAAATATTAAATTATATAATATGAATGGCCCAACAACCCTCCATCTTAACATATCCTTATGACAAAATATCACCAAAATTTGCATTTAATAACCCCTTTTTATTTATTTTTAAATTTATGAACTTGAACTTTTTAAAGCACATGTTAATTAGCCGAAGTGCACGCTTGAAACTGACGCCTGTAACTCAACCTATCCCAATGTTATCATACCATTCATTTCCATTGGTCAGTTTGTAACAACAAAATCAAACATTGGTCAAGCTTTAACTTATGTGACCTATTCAATCGTAACGTGCAGACATAACTTTACTGCTATACAACGTAACACGGTAAAGTAAAAAATATGAAGTCCAAACTTCATAATATTTATTAGGTGATAAAAAATAACATAAATTAACCGCCTTTTATTATGTTAGTATTAGTCGTTGATCCATGAAAAGCATTTATCATTAATGTAATTTAAACATTTCATATCAATGTCAATTATGGTCCCAAACATTCAATAAGATTAGTGTGGAAATTTATGCCGATTAATATTAATTGATATACTAAAACTGAATCTACAAATGCATTAAGATACTAGATTCTTAAGTATCTACTACGTCGCTATATATCTGTGGGAATATAAAATGTGCCACATGTGTTTTCAAAAACTTCTAATTAGAGGACAATCAAGAGAAACTTTCAATGCTCTTTTAAATGTTTTCCTAGGTGTAGAATGTTGTTCTTTAATAAAATTGCGGGTTTTTTTTTTTTTTTTTTTTTTTTTGAGGATTTTAACCCCATTTTTTTTTGAGGATTTTAACCACATTTAAGTTATAATAAATGGACGTGAAATTATATATTTGAATATTCCTTAAATGACTTAATCCGTGGAGCTAAAGCCCCCTGAACCCCCACCAGGGCTTCGCGGCCCCCTTGACCTCCTGCGTGTACATTTGTGCGTACATTAATAATGGCCCCAGCTACGCCCCTACGTTTAACAGTATAAAATAAAAATAATGAAAATAATAATAAAAAATTACAATGTACAAAACTACGATACAATTGGTTGATGTGTTTGCTTATTGGTATACAAAATGCAAATATATGAAAATCCTCTACATTTCAGAGGGAAAACAATGCACTAAGTCTTTACATCAAAGGTATGTATTTCTGTTTTTAATAAATAATTTCGTATCTTGTATTTAAAACATTTACTTTCATCTTTTAATTGTTGAAGCATTGTAAGAAAATACATTTCACTGGAGGAGTACTTTCATACATACAGATATCTATATTTACGAGCGTCAAAAAAGTTTTCAGAAGGCCAATAGTCTTTCATCATCTTCATTGTCTACGAAAAATAAAGAAATGGCTAATAACCCTTGATTTAAGTTGAAGATATACATATTTAACTGAATAACATAACGTTCTCATAAAAATCAATAATGTTAACATTGTTTTTTGTTTTGTTTTTTTGTATTTTCATAAGCCAAATTGGAAGTTTTGACAATCAATCATACGAAACAGAAATGCAGGAATGTACCGGACGTGTATACGACAATCTACCGCAACAAAATGCTGATTCAAAGGCGTTTTCTAGGGACGACATGACAACCTATGACGTTATAGATAATAGGCGATAATATTCAAGTACAGGGATGTCTTATAACACTGGACAATAGAAAAAAATTATTAATATCCTAACATAGACACAGCTTAAACTGCTAGTCATCTTCTGATTAGCTTGTGTTTGTTTTAACTAATCGGATTGTCTATTCATAAAAGAAAAAATATCGTAAGATATAAGTTAGAATATGAAATTTTTATTTACATGATGTTTTATAGAATGTATCAATTGCTTTGTGAAAGCATTCGAATGTTGACCTAAACTCGGAGTGGTGGTACTGTAAGTGTGTAAACGTGTAAAAAGTATTCGAGCAAAGGCATTACGAAGGCATTCATACAGATTTAGCTAATACGTAAAAGCATTATATTTCATAAACTATTGAAAATGGACATATGATAACAACAAATTACAATGTGTTAAAGTATTTTCTTATGTTGGATTATATTTTAGTAGTAAGCTGTCAATGCAAAAGATGGCTGAAAACAATGCTAAAAAAGCCAAGAGAGTTTTAGTCTTCTTATTATCATCATTAAATCATTTAATGCCTATATCAAAAATGTAACTTTTAAGTTGTTTGATGCTAAAATTGCCCCCATTTTTTTGTATAAATATATTTATAATATTAAAAAAATACAATTGTATGCATGTCAACGATATATGAATGTACCCCTACACTCCTGTAATGCTGTTGTTGTTGGTTACTATGAAGTATACGCTGTATTGAATTTTGGCTAAGAGCTTTTTTCTACGCAAGACTAGAGATATGTTAAAAATGTTGCTATATGATGTTGTATTATGACAGTTTTGGATCATAAAGAAATTTGGCATCTTATGTTAAATTGTTTTTATATAGATATTGGTTTGGTTATATTTGGAAATAGCAGCATGTTTCAAATATAAAGTTATTTTTAAAACAGCTAGATTTTAGGCTTAAAGATCAGTATCTACAAGATTGGTCTGCTGAATGTCATTCAAGTGCTAAACTTACTTCTTATTTTTTTATATTAATTATATGTCAGTGTTTGAGTATGAAAATTACCTTGATATTGTTGACGTCAAGAAATTTAGATATGCTTTAGTAAGCGTTTGGTCCTCATTGCACCCTTTAATGATTGAAAACAGAGACACACAGGTATTGATAGGAATTTTGTTTCTTTTGTGAAGACCAGATTGAAAATTTGTTTTAGTTTGTCCAACTTACTTACAACTAACTTACTTTTTGAACGAAATTAAAGTCTTCCAAAAAAGAACAAACAAAAAAAGTAAGCTATGTTTGTATAATTTGTATATTATGCTCTCAAACTGAAGTCATCATTATTGCAGTGTTAATATGTTGATTAAGTTTATATGTCAAATAATTAAAGCAACAATCTAGATAATCTAGATTAAATTCTTGAAGGTAATGTCCCTTATTTAAGGGCATATTTTAAATAATTTAACCTTGTAACCTGTTCTTTCTTGATTTTCGTTTCTTAAAGATGCAGGAACAGGCAAATAAAATAGTCACTCTTTATAACTTTGTATTTATAAAACTACTTACATACTTGTTTTTATATGCTAATATGTTGATTACTTAGGAAATAGATATCAATTCTGAGTGCATTGTAGTAGAATAATGCATGGTTTGAGTTCAAATGCGTAGTAATATAATCACGAAGGCCGATAGGCCTGAGTGATTAATTACAAAGCATTTGAACGAAAAATGTGCATTATTCTACAATAATGCACGAAGAATTAATATCGATTTCCATTCTTACACGTCAAGAAAATTATAATTATTATTATAAAGTTGGACTTTATGTTTGGTGGTTAAAATTTGTTTTTTTTGCCTCAGAGTTTCCAATAGAAACGTTTTTTAAAGGCTGTTCCAATGGGTTGGAAAAAAAACTGTCGTTAAATCTACCGTGTGAAAACTTTTTTGAGAATAACGAATTTTGAAAAGGTTGATAAAACTTTGTTTGTTTATTTTATTTCACTCTAAAATTTTTGAAGCGAAATACAAATTAATAAAACTGCAATAAATGTAAAACTTAACTCGTTTGCGTCATTAAAATAGCGTACTTCTTTTGATTGTTTTGCACGTGCTGTTTGGCGCTACATTGTGACGTCACGTAAACAACACTTTAAACGTCTGTACAGCGTTAACGACTGAATAAAAGATATTGGTGTTCGGATTTATTTTCTTAGTTAGATCATTTTCTTTCATTCTAGATAGTTTTCACAACAAAATTCGACAAAAAATTGTTTTTATTTATCAGATTTTTCAAACAAAATGGCGCCCTCAATGTGAAAATACACAGGGAGATAATAAGAACGGCGAGTGCATTGTTGTAGAATAATGCACGCTTCGGACCTTCTTTGTTTATATAGAAAAATTTCCGATAGTGTTAGAATGTACTTTTTCACTGGACTTGTGATTATGTGTTATAATATATAAATATGTTTTGTGTTTATTGTGATGTATGAGCTGGTGGCATTAATCATCTTAATAAAGAATTGAGAATTTAGATCCTCCTTTAAGCATAAAAACATCATGATAGGTAAATTCAACTATTTCAAGAACAAGTGATTTTACAAATTCATGACACAGAATTATAAAGAACAGAATCTCTAAAAGCAATAATGATATCGCCATTCAACATATAAGGTTAAACGTTTCACAAATAAACGTAATATTGCGTTATCAAAGCCATTGTCACCAAATGAAGGCGTTTCTGCTAAGATCTAAAAAACATATTGAATGTCATGGAGTACTTTTGTATGTCTTTAGAGATTTGATTTAAATAAATAGACGTGTTCAATATTACATTTTGTATATGTTTTTTTAATTTCATCTAAATAAGAGACTTTATATTGTGTATGAAAGGAATATATAATTTCTTGTTATTTGTAATCAACACAAAGACTGTCTGCTTGCAGTTGTACTGAATTACTTCGAGAATTATGTGTGTGGGTTTTTTTCTGGTGTTCAAAAAGCTCATATGTTTATAAAACAAGAGGCAAGAAATAATTTAAAAATTATAAAAAAATTAAAAATTTTAAAAATTGTGTTCTTTTGTTTTCATTATAATCAAAATAAAAAACAAAACAGGAAATTAAATAGTTCATACACATTTAGGTTTAATTAACAATGTGCACTCAATCAATATATTACCAAGACACAACATTGTATAATTACTTATTGTTTACAATACTTTAGCCACCATTCCAACATATGAAATGAAACTGAATTGGTTTAAAGATTAATTATGTTCCAATTTGATATTTTAAAATAATAAAAGTTGCTATACTGTCTCTTTTCAAATATAAAATAAGGATCTGTTGGGAACAAACATAGAAGATATTTTACACACACTATTATGTAAACATATTAAATAAATTCATAGTGTAATTTAAGAAAATGGACTTTTTTTTGCAAAGGCAAAACTAACCTGGCAGTAAAAGGGATTGCAACTCCCGAAATATAGTTTGTACATTCTCTTATTCAAATTTGACATGATCAGTAAGAAGTTCCTAGATTTTAAATCCAAAAATATTGCAATAAAAGTATTTTACCACAGTTATGGAATGGATTATTTACCAATGCTTTCTAAATGATTGTTGCATTTCCAATCACTCCTGTCACAAATCTCTTAAAATGTTGAAAACTGCTCAAAATTTTTTCTTTAAAGCGACGTAATACTTTGCTATTATTTGCATTTTACTAGATCCACAAAAAACTCGAGTTGTTTTTTTTAACATCAACGAAAACCTGTTTGTCTAAAAGAGCCTTAATAAACAGCATCACATGATATGCATAAAGACATACAAAGGATGATTATACGTGTTAAGTAAATATTAAGTGTTAATAGATATAGGCACCTATGGATGAATTTATCCTTTTTCGTGTATTTTGTTGTATTCTTTCAATGTCAGAAAGTAAAATGTCTAAGCTAAATGTCAAAACGACAAATCAGTCATTTCAAGCAGTTTATTGTTATCATTGTTAACGAAAGGTACATTTTCATTTAGAAGAGTTCAATTGAATAAAAAATAATAAATTAAAAATATACATGAAGGGAAAGGCAGAGGTTTAAAAGAATCACAGTCACGTTCAGTGTAAAACCATAATAACACCCACTTGCATAAGTGTTCAGTCCGCCGTACAAAAATCTAATAGATGTAATGTTCACTAAGGACAAGAAAATTTTATCATTATTGAGAAAACAAGCGAAGTTTCACGTAAGCGTATTCTGGCAGCGAAGGAATAGTGTAACACGACAGCTGCGCATTGCATGCCTTGAGATTGAAATGCTTCTTCGACGAATGATCTGCGCAGTTGTAAAGAATAAGGTTTCAACACGAAATCTTTATTTGCGATCCGTACAGGTACTTTTTTATGCTTTCAAACTCTACTTAGAAATATTTAGAATTTGAAATCACGTATTATAGCTGAGTGCAACATATTTTTCGTAGAAAAATATCTGCATGTACCGTGTATCATTTGCAGTCTATAGAAGATTTAAAAAAACACACAAAAATCCATTTAAATCAAATTGACAAGGAATAAAAGCTGCAAAGAAAATATCCATTACAGAATAATCAGTTCCTTCTTTTTCTTATCCGATTTTGTATTTCACCAATCAGTAAGTGATTGCACTCATTTTGACTGTCTTATGATGCCACAAATACCGTGGTAAATATGTAGCGGGTTTGTAGCCTAGTGTATTTCAGCTCAACCAATCACATGAGTAGAGCCCCTACACTCTGGTAGACTATCTGGCAGGATTCAAACCCACTGCATCGAGATACAAGTATATTACAGTCAGTGTTCTTAACTTCACGTCGAAATAGAGCCCATGTAACAACAAAGACTATTTGACCCCATTTTAAGTTAATATTCTATGCAAGTAAAATAAGTGCAGATGAACAGCTATATCTCGCTTAATATCAGGTCTGAAAAGGAATGGTTTTAGAATGAGTAAGTGTCACAATATGTCTTACATTAAAATGTAAACTAGGTTAATATTCTAGGGT